CAGTGTGTCTGCTCTGGTTTTGTTGACTAGAGTGGGTGGGGTGGCGTGAGTAACCGCTAGTGGCTGTCCCTGCCCGGAGATTTGCCGCTGCTCCAGTTACCAGCCTCCCTTTGGCTCTTCGATTATCCGCCGGGCACTTGCTATTGGTCCATGCTATTGAGCCTCTTGGCGAGACAGGATATTCCTTTGCTGAGTGAATGTCATAGAACAAGCAGGAAAAATAAAGAGATCCTTGTAATTCTGTCTGAGACCCCTCCAGCCCTTCACCCCTCCACCCCAGCCCAGCAGTAGCCTCCGAACTCACCAGAAGGGTGGCAGCCCCTGTGACCGTGTAAAGCCCATGGGTGAGAAGGCGGGAAGAGCAGCAGACTGTCTGGAACCCAAAGGGAGGTCCTGAGAGGCCGGTGTCCCGGAGAGGTGGGACCCACTGCGGCCAAGGAGGGAGGCCCTGGGGGAAGAGAGGACCGTATGCAAGGAGGGTGGTGCCAGGGGTGCCACACATACGCACTCACATGCACACACAGTATCCGCAGTGCTGCTGTGCCAGCCCCTGTGGGATGGGTCTGCTCTGTGCGCCTGGCGCTCATTCACGGCCCCCCCGTCGGGCACCACGTAAAGGCACCCTGTGTTTTCACACCCCCCTCAGCTGGACCACACGTCCCCTGCCCCTACTGCGCTCACATCCCCCCATGCTGCCCAATAGTCTGCTCGTCCTTCGGGTACCAACTCTTGAGCCACTTACGGCAAAAAAAAAAAAAAGCCCTCTCCAGGCATTGGTGTGCTGTCTCTTATCTGCTCCCTTACAGTCCAGTCCAATACAATCCTTCACTGCTCTGGAGGTTACATGTGTAAGTTGACTCCTGCATCACCCATTCAGAAGTACGTTGTAATTTTTTGTTAACTGATTTGTTGGCTGGTTGGCCACCCGGCTGGGTATTACTCATCTTGTTTGGTGAAATGCATAGTTACTGGTGCTGCCAGCTGTGGGAACAGTTTCCTCCACATCGACACTTGGGTCCTGTTGCCCGTGTTTTTCTTCATTCTAGCGCTTGACCACATCGCACCCTGGAGAGCAGAGGGAGACCGTTCTGCAGGCCTACATCAGCAACGACCTCTTGGACTGTCACAGCCATAGCCAGGTGGGTGAGACAGTGGCCAGCGCCCAGCCAGGGCCTGCATTTCTGGGAAGGATCTTAGAAGGAGGAGGCTTTCATTTCTATGCATATCTTCATCGTAGTGACTGTATATCAGCCTGGGGCTTCTGTTAGCTTCCGAAATCTGCTGTCCACCCTGGACACTGGCCCACTGTTCACTTCTAATGCAGAGTCCTAAACAAGTTAGTACTGCTTGATTCAACTCTGGAGCCCTTTTCTGCCATTTTTCCTTTTCTCAAATTCCCCGCTCTTTC